CTATTTTGCATCTACAATTTATTTTTATAAACTTTTTGCTATATAACGCACGCTCGTGTTTCTAAGCTTGCTTTTCTCGTGTTTTTCAACTCCTACCGTGTTTATATCAGAGGACAGAGACACGCGCACCGTTTTATATTTCGTAAATTTTGTATACCCTACTAGTAATTTGTGTTATGTATTTTTCATACTTCATCTCTTGGGAGGTCGTATCAAATTGGAACTTGACAGCCTTTGAGACTAATATTGTAAAATAAAATAAAAAATAAGATAAAATGCCTGATGGCGGTGGCGCATGTTGATGTAAAAGTCACAAACGTTGACACGAATGTTTATTTAAAGCGTTTGCACCACTGTCAGATTCAACTAAGTTGAAAAAATGTTCAAACAAAGTTGAAAGAGTTTGCGCCCGTGTATCGAAACTTTACCTGACATGAAAAGGTTTTTAAAATATTCCAGTACTAGGAAAATTGTAAGAAAAAAAAGAAAAAAAAACATAAAAATAGGAAAAGTTACATGTAATAGCTTGGCAACACAATTTACTTTTAGATAAAGATGGCATTTCGCACAAACGGTCTTACAAATATGAGACAGGTCTGGAATATATATATATTTAGAGGAAAAAAATAGGAGTCATAAAATTATTATTATAGCTTGACACACAGCCATATAGACAAGCCATCGAGCTTCAACATCCATTCAACATTTTGGATTATGCGTAGATTTTAAACAAATATTTATCAAGAAATAAACAATTTCCTTTTAGAGCCGTTAAAATAAAACACAGTTTGATGCATGATTGATTGTGCAGGTAATAAAAAGCCGCATGCGTGGTGATCTTACAGAAATGGGTGAGGACATAGGATAAAGGACAATTTAAAAAATATCGATGTCGATCGATTAAGATAGTCCGCATGAAAGGCACAATCATAGAATATTTTACAAATTAGAGCTAAAAAGTCGTTTTGTAAGTACAGAAAGTAGGGCCAAAATTGTTTTCCATGAAAATGTGTAAAAATAATGAGTGCGTAAAACCATCCGGAAACCTCAAATTGGTCTTTGCGTCATTTAAGTCATCTCTCTAAACATTTTTGGCTCGATTCTTGCAGGTTTATATTGAACTTATATTCCAAATAATGAATTTTGCTTCTGAAAATTTAGCAAGTGCATTACTATAGTCAATAAATACACAACTTACATTTTTAGACTTCCTCAGTGTTGTTCAAGAGATAGGCGTAKAAGTAAACTGCGCTACAACTTCAAGTAATTATGGGCATGCAGTTACCCCTAGCTGTTTCTAGTTTAGACAGTTCCTTAATTTATTTAAGAGTGAGCTTTGATGAAGCATTGACATATGTTCACAGAAAACCTTCCAAGATTTTAGCATGAATAACTATTATAGCCTGCGTACATCTGGTTTACCTGTTTCCAAGCAAACGTCGGGTGAAACTTAGGCTAAAATTTAAAAAATTGCAATAATTAAAGCAATAATTAATGTATAGTAGAGGAATCGGTATAAAAACATTGAGCCACTTAAATGTGTAAATGGGTTATAAGAGGCAACACTCAGACTATAAAGTAGTGAATTTAGCGCCCGGGGACGTGCCGCTGGCCAGGGTATGGTTTTTGGCCTTGCTGTCTTATACAGGGTATACATTTCACCCGAAATTGTCTTAAACAGGTTCTACAATTTAGATAAAAGACCGAGAATTTTTTTGTGTGTCTTGGACAGGGTAATATTTTCGTAAGAAATACGTAGAAATAACGTTTCACTGTAACAGGATTAACGTGTTGTCAGTATAACTGCAGTTTTGATGGTTGCGGCGTAGATACCGATTCCTTATTTTTCCGATTTGTCTTGAACAGGGTATGGATTTTTACTTTCTAGTGTCTTAAACAGGGTCAGGGTTTTAGACCCTAGAAAGACCCCCCCCCCCCTCCCCTCCCGGGATTTAGCGCAGTCAATGGAAAGTTAATAAAGATTGTCAGAACATTTTTTACAGCTGGCTTTTATCTTTAATTGACCTTTTCAAAGGTGAATTAATAAATATAACTGCAAGTTGAACAAAATAAAACAAAATAATTAGCATAAAAGTTCAAAACATGCACAGTAGAGTGCAAACACTAAATGCATGAAAAACTAGTAAGCTACGAGACAATTAAGAAAACATGTGGAAACTAGCGGTAGACTAGTATGAGCTATGTCAGTGTTTTCAAAGAAAGTTGTCTATGCAAAAAGATAAATTTTACGTGACACTTTACCACTAAAAAAGCGCCCTTTATTAAAAATCTCACAAATAGTTATGCACTAGTCAATTGAAATCCCCGACCCCCGGGGCTAGCGGGGCACTGAACGGGGACGTGACGCGTTTTTAACGTGCTTTTAACAGCAACATTACCCCGGGGGGTCGGGATTTTGGTGAATTGTTTTCGAAGCGGGGCAAAGAGCGGGGATTTTAACGATCTTTTAAAAATGTATGAGTCTGGAAACTAGACGTCGGTCATCTTGAGAAATACCCTGAATGCATTGGTTTTCATCCCCGCTTTTTTATTTGTTTCTTTTTCCTTGCATAAAATGTTTTTAAAAGAAACTTATTACACATGTTACTTTGTCCAGTAAACGTCATGTAGTACGCAAATGGGTACACAGGATTGTGCAAAAATTAACCCTGTGTATCACAGAAAATTTGATTGAAAGGTGTTTGTTTTGTTATTTACTACTAGACCAAAATAGCGGGGCAACAGAAGCCGGGATTTTAACAATGAATGTGTCCCGACCGGGGGAAGTGTCCTATTTTAACACCACTCAAACGCTAAATTCCCCGGTATTCCCCGGGGAGCGGGGGGGGAAGGGGGGTTTCAATTGACTAGTGCATTACTTTAATTAGGGGAAATACTTAGCAATAGCTACAGACAGTACAAATGTCCAAAATTGTCACTAAATTAGAGCTATAATCGTTTAGAAGTGTTTAGATTTTATTTCACAGACATGAAATTACTCAGTTTCTGTTAAATCAATGAATTGACAATCAAGTCCACACAATCATAACTAAGCATAATTTATGAAAATACTATAGTAATTCAATCTCCAAAAATTTGTTTATTATTCTGAATTCTGACATTCTCCAGTAAGACAAACTCAATTTGGCAGAATGATGAGCAAATAACTGTTCCATTCTGTTTTTTATTAATAATTTATTTCCAAAGAGAGTATCACAGTAATGGAATAGTTTTCCATCTACTTAGAGTTCATTTAAACTTAATCTACTGTACTAGGAGGGGATAATTTATATCGTCAACTGTTAAAATTCATATTACCTTGCATAAATGCATGTATTGCTGGTTGATAGGTCCTGCCAGAAATGCATGCTACTCCAGTGGATGGAATGCTAACACTTATATTGAGTATATTATATATACAGCAATATGCAGAAATTATATTTTTTATATACTTGAAATATGGGCAAAAAAGATCATAATTTCTGCATATTGCTATAATTTACAATGAACAATACAGAAAATACATAAAAGATATATAATAATGTTTCAGTGTAAGTAAACACCGTGRTTGTCATTTAAAATTGCAATAAATTATTCTTCATCTTCACTGTTAGACGGACTATATATACATGAATACACTTAGAGTAAAAGGGTAGATATAATGAAAACAAAGGCAAAATGCTACAACCACTACTAACAAATAAATAAAATATTATCCATAATATTATTATTATTATATAGTTTTACAATATTATTTTGATTTGAATTTTCCCAAGACGAATTGCCCTATTTCATTATGACGTCACATCAAAACATTGTATTGTTTTAACGCTAAGGATTATGGTCACCAGTCACCAGAAGGGATCAGAGTGACTGCATATCAAATAAAATGTACATAAACAATCAATTATACATGATATATATCAAAACGCAATTCATTGAGGTTCTACTTAAGTAGAAAATATAAATGGGTCCAAATTTCCACTGTTTTTGAGCATCGTTTTCCGATGTAAACATACTGTGACGTCATAATGAAATAGGGCAATTACAACTGTACCACAAGTTAAAATCTTATATTAAAAGGAAAGTCCTGAACCACTACAAATACTGGAAAAATCTCTTTTTCATAAAATAAGATTAAATACTACTATTGTAAGTCTAAATATTCCCAAACAATTCCCTAAAATAAAGTTAATTTCCACTAATAATTTATTCATATATTACTTTGTTGTTTTTCCTATTTAAAAAAGTATTGCAAAAAATCTATAGTTGATTGTACATAATCTTGCATTCACAGTTTAAGAGCAAAGCTCAATATGGTTGAGTAAATAAGAACTGGAAATTGAAAAAAACTAAGAGCAGTAAAGTGAAAAAAATATTCTTGTTTATCTCAACACATGAGGTATGGCATCAAATTATGAAATATTTTTTTTCAAATAATGCTACCAAATAAGATGGTGCTTATTACATATTGTACCTTGCTGATTGTATATTAACTGTTTTAAAACGACTTGCTCAAATTAATGTCTTCAAATCCACATGGGTTCTTGTTCTTCCATTCTTACTTCCACCCTTCCACGGTTTTTTAGATAATATGCGTCAGAAGGGGAGAGCAGCAAAGGAGGAATGCGTTCAAGGGACACATGCCGAGGTATAATGTCTAAATTCAAAAGACTTGCATTGTTATCACTYACAGTTCGAGGTAGACTTCCATTTGAATTTGGTATTCTCCTCACTGCCTCATTTTCAYTGTCCCATGATTGCATGTTTCTGATAGCTTGCACCTCACAACAGCAACACCAAAACTTTGTAAACTTGTACGAATTGTTATCTTCAAAGCGAATCTGTTCTCCTTTTTTAAAACAAAACCCTTTTTGGCTAATATTTGGATGATAGAACTGATAGTAGACTATCATGAACACAATTCCAGCTACAAATCCACCAAATACTAAACTAATTGCTGCATATGATACGTCTCCAAATAAACCACGATAAGGGTACCATAATGCAACAAAGACAGTGCCTTCCATAACATTAAGTGTATAATATAAAATCAATTTAATTCTTGTTGAGCCTTCGGTGATGTTGAAGAAGGAAAAATTGTAAACAAAAGCAATGATACCATTGTAGAATACTTCTCGGCAAGGATAAACATTACCATCACTATCAGAACAAAATGTAGAATACTGCGTAACTAGGAACAAGAACATCACAAGCCAGTGAATACCAATGGCAACAAATAACCATACACTGTAAACTGAGGCAAACAGGACAAATGCAATGATCCGAGATGCAAGCATGAAGAATCTCCACATGATTTGAAAGAATAAACCAGTCCACGAAATCTTACTTTGCATGACATCACGCAATGCACTTGTGTAAGCAACAACTGACCATGCTAAAGACACAAGTGAACATGCTGCAGTGACGGCAGTTCGTATATCACTCTCTGTTTTGACACGGCGGTGATAAGCAAGAATATAGAGTTGTAAAACCAGCTGAGGAGCCGACTCTAGATATGCTTCAAATAGCCGTAACATACAAATGTCTCGCCATTCTTCAAGAAAATGCATGTACTCATTGTCTGCAACATTTCTTTTTCTTGTTCTCCATCCACTGCGAAATGCTCTCCAGTACCTAAAATCAATAAAATTAATACTGTGTTTTCAATATGGGGTAAAGATCTTATGTAATTTTTGAAAATGGATTTCTATCAATTTCAATAGTTATTGAATAGCTAAAGTAACAGCAGAAACATGCATGTTTCTTGTATAATAGACACACCTCTGTATGAAACGAATATCCGTATCAAGCTTACATAAAATATTCAATATAAACAATCGCAAAGTAATCCACAAAGCTATAAAAAATAATCATTACGATTGAGCATGATATGCAAAATTATCTTCCTTCGTTCACACAAGTCAATAAAGGCTTTTCTTTAATTCATTCAAACTCAAGACTCAATGATATCTGACCTCAACACTGGTCCAATGTGAAGAAAGTGCAATAAGTATGTCCAGCAGCTTTCTTTTCTTTGGTCTTCGTGAAACCATTTTGCTGAGAAAATTTGTAACGTGAATGAGGACAAGAATACAAAAGAAAGAGTGAAACCAAACCACGAGTATTGTCCATTTTGAAAATACAGAGCTGCGACAAATAGGTCGGAGGCAATGTCTGCAATAAATGTCAAAACCGAGCCCAAAGCAACAATGTCCCAAAACCAATGCACTCGTTTTTGAGGGGTTGCTCCATCGGGATCAGTCCTTCTCGTAGCTGCAAGATCTATCTCATCTTGTGGGATAGGAGATGTTCCACTTAATGCTCCATTAGTCCTGTTGTTTTCATGCGGCTTTGAATTAATACACCGTAACTCCTCTGCCTCCATTGCCGGTGTTCATGATGCGTTGTCGATGTTTCTCGTTCCAAACGAAAACGTTCCCGAGGTATACACTTTTCGTCGGTTATTCTTCGGTCTATATTCGGAACAAAGTCGGAAATCAGCCTAAAAAATGAATTACTCTATAAAATTTATTCAGAATGAATTTTGTGTGGCAGTTCATATAGAATATTTGGATTACTATTTTTAGCTTTTAATCACATCTGTTTGAATTCATAACAGTTAGTAATATTCCATAATTTTATCCCTCAAAAGTCCCGTAGATTTGGCGCTTTCCCACAATCCCCCATAATGCCTCACTTACTCAATGGCGGTGAACAACAATCATGTATCATGGAAGAAATGTCGAAGATAATAATCATAACTTATTAATAACAAGAGAATTTTTGCAATCCTTTGTCCTCCTTAATACTAAAGAGATGTAAGAAGTTTTTATAGCGTCACAGCAAAATGCCACCTAAAAAGACTGCACCATTATCAAAACCAGCCTCAAAAGCTGCTCCTGCGAGGCAGCCCGCGAAAACGACAATGGCTAAAAAGCCTCCTTCTAAACCTGTCGGATCCAGTAAAGGAACTGCTGCCAAAAAACCTGGGAACATTCAAGCCAAAGGTAAACCTAAAGGAAAAGATTCTGCCTCACCAAAGGTAAGCTCTCACAGCTAGAGTACCTCGTGCAGTTCGTTTCCATGGAGAGCGCGTTGTTCCATGGGCATATAAAACTTAGTGAACTGAAAAGCTACCTCCGCATACCTTATGGAGTCATATATACTAATTATATTTGGTAATATGATTTGCAAACTTCCAATAGCCCAAAGGCCCAGTATGGACAAAAGATGATGACCATGCAAGAACTATTCAAAAATATGTTAGACGGTACCTTGCAAAGAAGAAACTTGAAAAGTTAAAAAAAGAAAAACAAGATTTTGATGATCTTATGGAGAAACTTCAAAAAGAGGTAAAAATATCCCATTTTTTCAATTTTCATTATTGTCGTTACTTTTCATCATGTGTTAAGACTTAAATGAGGCAGTTATTATGCAAATAATCTTCTGAATTCTCCAATACTACATGTACATAGAAATATGACAAATAACTGCTATACTGCATAAAGCGATATATTACCATCCCTGCAATTTCCAATATATGTTCCCATAATTAACCACAAATTATTGTCAGGCCTGGCTGAAATTGGTACAAATGGAAAGAGAACAAGCAGAACTGGAAAGAAAAAAAGAAGAAGAGGAAAGAAGAAAAAGAAAGGAAGAAGCCAAAAGACAAAGTAGAATCCTAGAAGCAGCTTTTGATGGAGACAATGATGAAATACTTGCAGTCCTGGAAGAAGTAAGCATATATCATTGTCATGTTGCTGCTTTATTTGCTAGTAATTTGTTGTTTCAAAAGTCTTGTTATTAACTAAGGAAGATCAATCATCTCTTTATTTATAAACAGGCATATGAAGTAGACAGCAAGCAAACAACTCTCTCTGAAAATGCTCGCCAATCTCTCATAGTAAGACACCAGAAAGCACTTGTAGATTGCAAAGATGCCAACAATAATACACCATTATCAGAGGCTGCAGGTGGAGGTCATGCAGATACCATAACTATGTTGATTCAAAGAGGAGTAGTTATCAACTCAAGAGGAAGATACCACAGAACACCTCTCTGGAGGGCTGCTTTTGGTGGACATCTGCAAGCAGTACAGGTTTGAATATGAATAAAATGTTTAAAATGATGTTTTAAGAAATAATTATGAAAATTATCAGAATTAATGATTGTCATCAGATCATTAACAGGCAGTATTAATGACATAAGTTGATATTGTTGAACTAGATGTATRGTGTCCCATTATTAAAGATGACAAGAACCTTGTTTTATTCTTCAAAGGACATCAAATAAAATTGTTATGCAGTATGTAAAACCTGAAAAAAAATGGCAAGAAGAACTTTAAAATCTAAAACTATCTCTTATTTGATAACATATTTTATGGGGAAACAATGTTTCATTTTAATTCTAGACCCTTCTAGAGTTTGGAGGTGATCCGAGACTTGTTGCTGATGATGGTACAAATGCCATTCAGGTAACAATCAAACACATTCTACATCAAACATTTTATTTAAAATATAACTTAGATCTACAATACCAGACCTCCTGGGTAGAATTTAGTAAAGCATTTTTTTCTTCTGACCTCTGAGTTGTATATTTCAACAACACTTACTGATGAGAATAGAGTTCAAATAAGCTGTTGGTCATGGCAATAGTGATTCTCACCCAAGTACAGAAACTGGACTATAACAACTGTAGATATTCTACTAGTATCTGACCATCATAGTATCTATTTAATGTCCACTAAGGTTGCAGCTATAGAGGGTGTTCAGAAGGTATTACAAGACTGGGACTTGACACAAACTGATGTACTTCTTAAAAAGATTGAATCAGAAGATTTAAAAAAGGCTGACGAAGAAAAGAAAAGACAAGAGGCAGAATGTAACAGGTGATGATCATATTATAAACCAACTGCAACTTGGTGGAACTTCTATCTATGTTTTATTTTCATGATGCACTCAAATTGATTTGAGCACAATGAAGCCAGTGCCTTGACGCGTAGGTTGAGGCTGATGAGGTTATGACAACATTTCTAATTACCAAGTTGCTATAATTGTAGTTAATACTGTGAGCAAAAGCTGTTTGTCCATCATATCTACCTCACACTGTAGTGATAATGATGATTGCCTTTAAAAAGGTTGGAAAATGAAATCAGTGATGCAGAGAAAGAATACAAAGCATGCGAAAAAGAGGTATGGAACTTATGATGTTAAACTTAGTTGTAAACATTTTCCCATCGTTTTGATGAAGCTGTTCAGATCAGTCATATTTCTGTTTACACTAGAAATTCATGTCTTTTTTTGTTTTGTTATTTTCATTTTAAGTTAAGGAAAGCTCATGAAGAATTGAATAAGAGAATCTATGAACATGACCGTTGTATCAGTGAAGGAATGCTTGACAAGAAAGAAATCACCTTACAGGTACGTAAGCCGTAGCAGTTTTCTCTTGCAGTGACTGAATGCTGTGAAATGCATAGCACTGGGTGGATTACATACATAACAATCGCATGTAACAGCAACAGCCGAAAAGCAGGATTAGCTATTAATGTATTTGTTCTTTTTTTTTTCTTCAGAGCATTCATGACGCTGAGGCAACTCTAGCACTGGTGAAGAAGAAATCAGATAAAGCCCAGAAAAAGCTTTCCCAAGTATGTGGTAGGAAGTTTTGAAAAACAAGGTTTTTACACCATCTTTTTGCATCAGGAATGACAAATGTAAATTAAAAGATTTCCGAGGATTATTGGAAGATACAGAAATCCTATGTAAACTATTACTCTGCATACGTCATGACGGGTTTAATAGAGATCTAGTCCCCTTGGTAGCCTACCATGTCCCTCACAGGATGCCCAGCAAAAGGGTTGTTCCGAAGGAGACCAATGAAGTTCCCAAGCTTTTTCAATTTCTTCCTTTCCATAGTGTTATACTCTTACAACTTAGAATGTCAATGTATTCGATAGGCCAAATTAAGACTTCGAGAACAGAAATCACAGGATGAAAAAGACAAACAAGGTTGGTTTTGTCATCAGTACTGGGGATTAGGTGGGAGAGTACGAGGGAGTCGTTATTGCTGTATGGGTTTCCTTTAATGAAAATGATGTACTAACGAAGATGAATGAATAAAACGTTTTTCTTTTTTAAAAGCTGAGAACGACAATTTCAATGGAATCAAAGTGATGATAAAAGATTTAGACGATGTTCTATTCAGGGATATCGGCGGTAAAATTGCAGCAGATGGAAGGTATATAAGCAGTGAACAATTCTTTCTTCCTTTCGGATTAGTTCAGAAACATTATTGAATCATTCTCTTAAAGAGTGGCATTACTGCTTTAGATTAATAATAATAATAATAATAATAATAATAATAATATAATAATATGTGGTATTTATATAGCGCCGA